ATTTGTTATTTATTATTCATTATCCATCATCCGCTATTTATTAGTTGTCACTCACTACTGCTATTTATTGTTCGCTCTTTGCTATCTCCTACCTATTACCCACTACCCATTACTTATTATCCATTAAATTTTAATGGTCTTGCAAAATAGCGCTATGCCAAGAAAATTCATAAGCACGCAACAAATTACAAGCATTTTGCCGATTGAGGTGGTAATCACAAAGACTTTTGTCAAGGTTATTTATTTTCACTACAATTTTATTAATTTACAAATTTTAAAATAATTAATTATGATATTTAAAAAATATTTAAAAATATTAATTTTTTTGATGTAATAAATGTGTCTTTATAATTATTTAAAAATAAATTAATTTTAAAATGTATAAAAATTAATTAAAAAAACATTATTCGTACAAAGATTGTCAAATGTAGGAAACACTTTTGCCTTGTAACAAAAAATTTGGGTCGTCGATGCTAAATCATCCTTCGGTTGAGTTGACGAATATACCATGCGTTTCACGAAATTTTGATGCATACTTGCATTGTTAAATTTTACATGATTTAATTCAATTAAATTGTGCGTGGGAGAATTTAATTCAACACAATTAATAAATTATTGACTAAAGTCAATGAGGTTATGTCAATGAGCTTAAAAAATAAAACGGACTAAATACCTTTTCCTCTAAAAAAAAAAAAAATCAATACATTGCAACCGTCATTCAAAACTAGTTAGTAACCAAATAAGGGTTAGATTATTGTCAACATTAAAATTGTTAAACATATTAATTTAATTGTAATTTTATTATTTTATCATTATTTTAAAATAATTTATTATGATATTTAAAAATATTTATTTATAAATTAATTTTAATCTATTAGATAATAAATTTTAATTATTTTATTTATTATTAATTATTTTTAATAATTATAAAACAAATACAAATTCAACAACTTTAATTACCTAACAAAATTTACAGTAGTCGTAACTATAGCTCATCTAGGCATGCCGGTACCTGGTTAGCTGCACTAATCAATTAAAGCTGTTGAAACATCACATCATGTACAGGGGTGGTGTTATTGCCACAGCCACTAATGTTAATACCACAGCTTTTTATAATTATTTGACTATTATACCCCTCATTTGAATCCAACTTGCAGCAGTCATCACCTTTTCCGCGTGGGTTAATGGTCAATTGATTAAAAAAGCTGTGGTGTTAACCTTTGAAGCTGTGGCAATAACACCACCCCATGTACAGGGTCGGAATATAGACCAGGGGCAGCGCCGCCCCTGGAATTTGAAATATATATAATTAATAATTATTATTATTTAAAATTTTAAATATTATATTTTTAATTATTAAAATACATAAAATAAAAAAAATCTAATA